TATCTATTGTATTTACGTCATACCATCCTTGATGCTTTTTGTGTTTAATCGAAAAATCAAAGAAATAATTTTGGAATTTACTGAAAATTATTGTTCCGCCGACAAGTTCTTGCTGCAGTGAATTATCGGGACGTGTGATAAGCAATGAAGAGGAATGTTTAGCAGCAGTGGATTCATTACACGAACGAGGCGTAAAAATTGTCGTAGTAACGAGTGGTCTTGAAACCTCAACAACAAAATACTGCTATGGATCCGTTTACAAAGGTGAATTTTTCGCCCTTTACCGTATATGGAGATCGTTTTTTACTCGGCCCACCATTTTTTTTTTTTTTTCTTTGAGGGGAAGACAAAGCTTTTCAGCTTCTATTCCATTTCGGCCATCCCATTCTTCTAGCTGTATTTTGCCAAGGCCTTAGCCCTTTCGATTTGTCTTCGATATTTGCTGAGCAACATCACTTAGTCTCGAATGTTGCCACTGTTGGATCACGACGACGTACCGTACCAGCTAGGAGACCTGCCCGTACAAAACAAACATGTATTTGGCGGTACCCTGTTTCTCGTTCCGCTCCGTCCCTCCGCTTCCACGTTTTCTCCCAGAGGTGCAGAGCATCGGTATAATCGGCTACGAGAAATACATTCCTTGCTAATTTTATTTTTTTTTTTTGAGAAATACTCAGTATTGTAGCCAATGTGTTTTGAGATATTTCCGAAACGTAAAATTGTTCATTTTCAGGGTCAAACGAACCTCCACTTCAATACCGTTTTGATATACCAGCACTTCCAGGAATGTTTGTGGGTACCGGTGACGTCTTTACAAGTCTGCTTCTTATTTGGATGGATAAACTGAACGGCGATCTCAATCTAGCAATTCAAAGGGCTATCGGTACGCTACAAGGCTTACTGCGTCGCACTGGCCAGAAAGCTTACGGTAATGTCTTCATTTTACTCGTACTTTTTTTTTTTCATCCGTATTTGTCTTGTATTGGCAAGTGTTACATGCCCGCTAGTTCGAGATCGGTATTCGAATTTCAGGGAAAATATTCCTCTCGAAAATGCGTAGAGCAGCGTACATTTCGCTTATCTCAAAGCCATGGTGCATCAAAATATTGCATCATACATGCACTACGATTAGCTGAAATTTTTTATAAATGCTCGAAAATATTTGGTATTACTATAGTACAAATAATGTTTTT